ATAATTTTCTAAAATGCATTTCTCACTAAACAATGCAGGAATGTTTTTTTTCTGGGTTTAGTAATCAATTACAATAAAAATAATCACTTATTATGGTTCTAAAATAATATAATTGATTTTATAGAGCAATATCATCAATTATTTTTTGCAATAAAATTTGTGCCCAAAACTCATTTTCCTAGACCAAGTTCTTCTAGAAGTGTGGCTTCTTTGGATTATTTTTCTGAGATTTATAATAATCAAATAGATTCCAATATGCACTTGCGGCCTTAGCTGCGATGAAAGTGCACCTTTCCTCTTAGCTTTTTGGTAAGGGTTCAAGTTGTCAGAGCAGCAATATTCCCTCAAATTTCTCATTGGTCAAAAAAAAAAAAAGATTCCAATATTAATTTAATGCATTTTAAAAAATTAATTTTTTAATATTAAAATTAAGATTTAAAAAATAAGAAGGTACTTATCAACAATTATCATCTATAAAGATTTATTGTGAAACAATTTAAAAGCCTTTCACCATAAAAACAAAGAACAGTGTATCAATTTTATCCTTTTCTTCTGACAAGAAATAATCAGGTGCTATTAAGATCAAAAAGTTTTGATAAAGAACATTTATTTACTAATTTTTGGGAAAAATAAAGAAAATTCAGTAACTCAACTTTTTTTCTTTCATAATTGTAAATTGATATGAATTGATATCTTAAAATTTCTCATTATTTTAATTCTATTAAAAATTTATTTTCACTTCCCGCATTCTAGAGTTATGCAAGCTAGTGTAAACAATGCAACTTGGTATAAAGAAGAAGACTGAAAATTGTGTTCGTCCAAGTTGGTTACAGAGTAGCAAGAGAAATCATTTGAAAAGCAGGCTTAATGAACCCAATCTACTGTACTTGATTTCAATTTCTTGTGAAGGTGCATGATTTTTCTTGTTCATGGGGTAAGAAAAACAGAAAAAGCAATTGGATTTTTACTGTATCCGATCGGTCTTGCACTACAAGATTATTTATTGCGCGAATGGCGAATTTGCGCACTACTCTTTGTCCGGTGAGTGGATGACAGTGGATTTTTATTGCGTGAGGGCAAAGCAACTTGACATTGCGAGCATTACTCTCTTTCTCTGCTCAAGGAGACAATTTTAGCGAACAGTTCCCATGGCAGCAACACTATAAAGGAGGAGCCTTCCATTATATTCTTCAACAATTTCCTTTCTGACTTCAAACACACTATTTCAGTGAGGGAAAACACTGGCCATGATCACTTCCATTTTCACTTATTTTCTTCTTCTATTTCTCATTCACTTATTTTCTAATGAATTTATATCCCTCCAAGCAAGCGAATTTGTTTCCTATTCAACCAACTTCACAACTTGCTGGGAGATAGAGAGAAATGCACTTCTCAAGTTCAAAGAAGGTCTCCAAGATCCTTCAGGCCGGCTTTCTTCTTGGGTTGGCAATTATTGTTGTACATGGTCAGGTGTTGGCTGCAATAGGCAAACGGGCCATGTCACGAAGCTTGACCTCGGTATGCCGCCCAGCAGTTTTAATATTAATGATCCAAAAGCTTTTGATTTTGCATCCTTACAAGGTACGATAAGTCCTTCATTGCTTGATCTGAAATATTTACATTACTTGGATCTAAGCTGGAACAATTTTGAACAAACTCCAATCCCCAACTTCATTGGTTCATTCACCAAGTTAGAATACCTTAATCTCTCTTATGCATCTTTTAGTGGCTTGGTTCCTCCCCATCTTGGAAATTTGTCAAACTTGCGTTACCTTGATCTCTCCTCACAAAGCTTAGATCAAGATACCTTGGTTTCTGATTTGAATTGGATCCGTGGACTCTCTTCGTTGGAACTTCTCAGAATAAAGGTAGCAAACCTTAGTTTTGCTTCAGCCAGTTGGTTGCAAGCTATAAACAAGCTTCCTTCCTTGATGGAGTTAGATTTGTCTTCCTGTAGACTCCATGACATCCCTGCCTCTCTTCCAATTTTGAACTTCAGTTCTATTCAGGTCATTGATCTTTCACAAAATGATTTCAATTCACCATTACCTGGTTGGTTGTTCAATATCAGTTCTCTTGTTGAGCTTGACTTGTCTTCTAATGGCTTTAGTGGACAAATACCTCCATCTATACAAAATCTTAATAACATGAGGGATCTTGTACTTTATGAAAATGATCTCTCGGGTCTGCTTCCAATTTCTATTGGAAACTTATCATCCTTAGAGACTTTATTTCTCTCTTCCAACCAATTGAATGGAACAATTCCTGAAACCACTGGACAATTGAAAAAGTTGATTATGTTAGATCTTAGTTCTAATAATTGGGGAGGTGTTGTGTCTAGAATTCATTTTCTCCACCTAAACAATATGAAGGTTTTTCTGTTATCCTCTGTCAAAGAAAAGCCACTCGTATTTGATGTGGGATATGACTGGATTCCTCCTTTCAGTCTAAATTTAATCTTCATTAAAAATTGTCAAATGAATCCCAAATTTCCTATATGGCTCCAAACTCAGAAGGAACTGAAGATTGTTGAGCTTATAGAAGTTGGAATTTCAGGTTATGTACCTGATTGGTTCTGGAAACTGAGTCCACAAATTGAGAAGTTATCTCTTCACAATAACAAATTGTGTGGAGAGCTTCCAAGATCATTACAATTTTCACATTCTTCTATAGACCTCAGTGTCAATTTATTTGAAGGACCGATTCCACTATTTTCTGGTGTCAACATGCTCGGTTTGAAAAACAACTCACTCTCAGGACCAATTCCAGCAAATTTTGTCGATGCCATGCTACATTTAGAATTTATGGATCTTTCTGAGAACTACTTCAATGGCAGCATTCCTTCTTCAATAAATAAGTTGGAGAAGTTGGAAGTTCTGTTGCTACAAAATAATGAACTTTCTGGAAAGATTCCTTCAATGAATAGATTGAAAAATTTATGGACATTAGACCTTTCAAATAACAATTTATTTGGCAGCATTCCAAGCTCCTTGTGCTCACAGTCTCCTCTTATTCATTTGAAATTGAATGGCAACAATTTTTATGGAAAGCTTTCATCCTTGCAAAACTGCACAAACTTAGGTACACTCGGTCTGGCAAATAATCAGTTTCATCGAGGCATTCCAAGATGGATTGGAGAAACTCTATCTTGTTTATCAATACTACAATTACGAGGAAACATGTTTAGGGGAAAGATACCAAAAAGTTTGTGCAGTCTTCCTTTACTCCATGTTTTGGATTTAGGGCAGAATAATTTTTCGGGATCAATTCCACCATGTCTAGGCAATTTAAGTAGCCTGTATCACTCAAAAAATAGTACTTTTGTATCTGCTGCTGTTGCTGCTCATGCTCTTGTTGCTAATGCTGTTGCTGCTGCCACTACTGTTGCCACTGTTGTTTCCACTACTGTTGCTAGTGGTAAGAAGGGTGCTATTGTTGCTGCTACTATTCTTGAGGGGTTTATGCCTTTCCTTTCTGGAATGCGGGACATGGAATTTAATGTTAAAGGACAAACACTTGAATTTGTTAACATTATTGATCTCGTGAATTTGATAGATTTATCAAGTAATAATCTTGAAGGGGAAATTCCAGAAGAGATAACGAAGCTTTCTGCCTTGGGTACATTGAACTTATCTCGGAATCAATTAACAGGAAACATCCCTAAGAAGATTGGAGACTTGAAGCTAGTAGAGACTCTTGACCTCTCAGTCAACCATCTTTCAGGCCCGATTCCTGCAAGCATATCGTCTATGACATTGTTAAGCCATCTAAATTTGTCTTATAATGATTTGTCTGGGCAAATCCCATTAGCAAACCAATTCCAAACCTTCAATGATCCATCCATTTATGAAGGAAATCCAAAACTTTGTGGAGCTCCATTGCCAATCAACTGTAATGCTCCTCCAGACGAACCTTTTGGCAAAGACAGAGATGAAAGCTGCTCAGAAAGGTTGTGGTTCTACATTGGAACAGCATCTGGATTTGTGGTGGGATTCTGGGTTGTTTGTGGAACTTTGGTGATCAAGAGGTCTTGGAGACATGCCTACTTCCGCTTCGTGGAAGAAATGAAAGATATGATCTACATCTTCATTGTAGTGAAGGCAGCTCGTTTGCAAAAGAAGTTGAGACCGTGGTGAAGGTATTTATCTTTCACATCTACTTTTGCATAATACAGGTATAACCCAAGCACAATGATTGATACATCCTTCAGTTTAATATACTTTACAATTCATTTATTAAAAGTTATGATTTTTAAATTTGAATTGAAGGCAAAAAAACTTAAAACTATAGATTTTAATAACTAATTAAACCAGTTGATATTGGCTGGTATATTAAATTGAATTAAAGAGTGTATTAATTATTTTTCATAACCCAATTTAAGTTCTGACCTTTTGTCATTTTTTGTTTTAGGTAATAAATTTATGTCTTTCGTTGGGTTACTACTCCAAATCTGCCATTTGTGTAGCCATGAGATGTGCAGTTTCTACTTAGGAGGCTTTGAAATATAAAGTCCAATCAGTTTGGTGGATGTTTATCTTGTGTTTCCAATAACAATAGAGTTTATTACTTGTGCTGTCATGGAATGTGAGTGTTTTCAATCAATTGTTGTGTGCTCTTGAGAGTTTTGGTGAATCAAAGAAGTTGTCTTGTTTATATCATTTCGATTAATGAAAATTGATGTTCTATGTGGTTGTGATTCCATAAAAGCTTGTAACCTAAATTTTATTGATGAACATGCTTCAATTTCTCCCCCAAAATAAAAAGCATGACAAAAGGTTTTAATCAAACGCTAAAAAACCTTGAAATTTTACAGTCATTGTTTTCCCTACCATTCCAGCTGTTTACCACTGGCCTTGTGTTAATCAGCTTTCATCTCCTCATGTACTGCAAATTATATGAAGAGATTTCATTTTCTATCTCTCCATAAAGAGTATGATTTATTACATTTTCCTTTAGAATTGATCAGCTCCTATACCCTTTGAGACACTATGTTATGAATAGAAAGGACGATGCTCATGTTCTATAGACTTCTACAGATCATGAAGCATGAATCAACTGTAAAAAAAACATAATAAATATACAAAGTTTTCTTCTATCCCATTTTATAGATGCAGCAGCACTATTAGAATAGATTATATGTTACTTTGACGAGAAACTATAGTGAAAAGAAGAGAAAAAAAAATTGAGATTTTGTCTTTCTTACCACAATGGTAATTTTGAAGTGTGAAATTCTAAAAGGATTCATAAAGCATGAACATTTGGCTTACAACCATTAGTTTTGGGAGGGAGCCTCTTTCTCTCTCGCCAAAGCTCAAGCTTCGCACCAAACCTGGAAGGTAGCATTGTGCAGACTGGCTTGATTTCTCTTTTTTGGGTATGGATCCTTTGTATGGAGTTATTTCACCACTAGGTGTGGAGTTTGGTATTGATGCAACTAAGCCTTTCATGGCAAATCTTTCAAGTTGGGCAAGGTTTGCAGGTTTGTCTTCTGGTTGACCTAAATTTTGATCAATATTCACAGAGGCAGTATTGTTGAAGCTCTCACAAAAGAGCCCAATTAGTTGTTTTTTCATATCATTTGGTGAAGGTTCATCATCCACACCAGGAGCTTTGTCATGTACAGAATTTTCTATGGACCTTTCAGGACGCATGGGAGTGTTATCTTGAGAAGGGGTAGGATCTGCATGAAAAATCTAGTCAAATACCATATACAAATTTTTATATTTAAAGATAAATCTCACTGAATAAAAATAAAGACCTACCTATCTTTAAATATACACTGGATAGCCAGAAGAAGAGTAATTTTTAAATAAGGCGCACATGAGAAATTTTATGGGTGGTGTATTTAGACTAGTTACAAAGTAAAATGCAAAGGAATGAAGCCCATCTTATTCAGAATGGCTTAGATGGCACCACAGCAAGTGTGCCAAAAGAATTTCAGAGCTTATGGGCAAGTCTTTACCATGATGAGATCAAGTTAATGTTCATAATGATGCAAGATCTTGTCACCTTCTAGTTCAGTTTCAGAACTTTATTGTTTTATTACCTTTGATTTAAGATGCAGTTGCCTGTGTCCATTATCAGCTCGTGAACCTGAAGCTAGGAGAGAACTCCCATGAATGTGGAAGGTATCTTGGCTTAAACTTACAGCACTTCCATCTTCATCAGCCAAATAGAAAAAAAGGTAGGCATTTTTCTGTAAATCATCATTCCACCTAGATCTTTCACATGATCAATCAAGATAGAATCACATAAATATCAGCTAAGACACGCAAAATAGAAAAATCAGATATGTCCGCATGGTATTTATTGCACATTCTTGAAACGTTAAATGTTACAATGGTTCAGACAATTACTTCTCACTCTGCACATCAATCCTTACTGCCCAATCACCTCCATAGCCACCGCCATCCCCTTTAGATTTCAAGAAACTTGTTTCCAGGGTCATGTCCTGGTCAACCAGAAGTTGATGTCCAAAATCACGTACATTATGCTGTGTCCACCCATATCTGCTTAGTTCATCAGAGCCTTGACAGACATGTCGTATAAAATACCTTCCATCCTTCAAACCAATCCACATCAATCCAGCAATTAAAGAGCGAGAAGTCCTGCCAATCACAAGAACAATAGCTAATTAACACCATACCTCCTCTGATTTGCTAAGGAAAATTAAAGCCAAGAATGAAAAGAAAATACACAAAGAATGAAGAATCAACATGGTAGCAGTACAAAACAGCACAGATTTCTTAAGGCCATTCCCATTATAAGCATAAAAAGTTAAACAAATAATATCATGCTTAACAAAAGAAAGCAAATCTGAGAAAACA